TTAATATAAAATAAAGAACCAATACTAGAAAAATTAATTGCAATAATATCAATAAAATAGGTAAAATAAATTTATGAATATTACTATTATTGAAAGTAGAATTAATTGAAATCATATAACCATTGAACAACTGTATGAAATGTTATTGTTTATTAGAAAATAGTGTTGTTACATTAAAAATGAGATTTTATACAAATACCTCAAAAGAAGTCTCTTATATAAATAAAATAAAATGAAGAACCTAAAAAGTCATTTCTTAATATCCATAAAATATTTATTGTAGGATTATTTAAGTTGATTGCTTTTATCACTGAAACAAATAGAAAATCAGAAAAGACACTGATAATAAATACACAACAATATTGAGTATGAAAATAAAAGTACAACAACAAAAAATATAAAAATATAGAATAAGAAGAATGAGTTTAAAGAAACAAGAAAAATAAACAATAATAAGAAATGAAAACAGAATAAAGAATAGAATGTTAGTGTGTGTGTGTTGTTGTACCGTTTTGCAATAAATTGGTTAAATATAATAGCGGATAATTAAGAAAAAAAAATAAATAAAAAGAAATAAGAAATCAAATAAAAGTGATAAATAAGTTATGATATAATAAACCAATAGTAATTTCAATAAGTGAATTGGTTAATTCAGCAAGCATTAAATTAACTTAAGAATCAAAAAAAGAAATTAAAAACGTTATGATTAAAAACAGGGTTAATATCATGGAACATGGCTTATTTCTATCACAGCTAAATATGCACAACTAGGTTAAATGAAAACAGACATGAAATTACTTGCCTAAGAGAACTAATACTCTAAACAAAGTTTGATAATATTGGGTTAAATCTATAAGTAAATTTATAATATAAGAACGTAAAAATTGCGAGGACTTCAATTTTACAAAGAACTTTATAGCTTTGGAAATAAAGAAACAAAACGGTGATTAACATCAACAGTTTTAATGAAACTAATAAGAATTTTCATAATAATAGGAAATTGATGTTTTAACTAAATTTAATCATGAAAATATTCATGGAAAAGAAACAAGTTGTAATTTGTAAATTGAAAGACCAAAACAAGAAATACAAATAATGACTAAATTCAATTAAAATAATAACTTTTCGTATTAAATCATTATTATTTGGTAGTTATTTTTTGATCTATGAAATTATAAGAAAGTGTGTTAGTTCATTGAA